AGGAATCGTTTTGTGCTTGGAGGAATTTAAATGGAGTGGCATCATCTCCCGAATAGTGTCTGTCCAATCATTAAATCAAATAATTCTTGTGACTGCATTCCTCCTCACAAAACATACCTTTATATACCACCTAATCTGCCCATCACAAAAATCACATAAGTAGGTATGGCCATGTGTCTGAGTGTTCAGGTGGGTGTATGTGTGTTTATGGTTGGAAGCCAGAAGTCAACCTTAAGTGTCACTCCCCAGACATCATCTACCTTGGTGTATTGACACAGCACCTATTACTGGCCTGGAGCTCACCTAGTAGGTTAAGCTGGCTGGCAAGTAAACCCCAGGAATCCTCTTATCTCTGCCTTCCTGCCTGTGGGATTATAAGCACATACCATTTCTGCTTCCCAGCAACACACACATAGTACGACTCATTGGTGGCTTCTTTACAGCAGTAAATATCAAAAAAAAAAAAATATATGAAGAGGCTGGAAGGAATCCCTGAGTGCCTGGTGACTATTACTGAGGTCCACAAGCCTCCAATGAGAAGTCCTCAGAAGATGGAAGGAAGAGCCGAACTTAATGATGGAAAGTATTTAGAGTAGTGTGCAGCAGCAGAATGGAACCAACATCCAAGGAGTCCATCTGGCCTTTCCTCTTTCTTTCTTTTCCTCCTTTTTTTCAATGTTGGTTCACAGCAAGCCTTTAATGAAATAGAATCATTTTTAACCAAATGAAACCGTCTTGGCTTCTTAGGTCTGTCTTGCCTGGCAGAGGTATTGGCAGGGTCAGACCTGGAATCCTAACTCTTTCCCGGTTGGGTCAAAGAGCCATGCCCAAGGAGTGAGTGATAAGAGCCCGGCATTTGCCACTGTTGGTGACTGAAAGTCACTCCTGCTATCCTGTTTTATTAGTTACTTTTCTGTTCCTGTAACAAAACATCATGCCGAAGGCAACTTATAAAAGAACATACTGACTTGGGCTTACAGTTTCAGAAGGTTGGTGTCCATGATCCTGGAGCAGACACAGCAGGCAACAGGAATAGTTAAGAGCTCACATCTTGAACCACCAGGGAGAGACAGAGAGCACACTAGGAATAGAGCAAATTGAAACCTCAAGCCTGCCTCCAGTGACACCTCTTCCAATAAGGCCACACCTCCTAATCAAACAGTTCCACCAACTGGAGACCAAGAATTCAAACATATGAGTCTATGGGAGCAAGACCAAGTATTCAAACATACGGACTTTTGGGGGTCATCCTCATTCAGGTCACCACACTTGTTCAGGTCCCTCTGGGAGGACCAGGACCGATCTCTCTCACACACATAGCTGCCTCATCCTGAGGAGACAATGTGACTGTCTGTCCTTTCTGGTCAAGTGAGAAGATACAGGTGATGCTGATGTCTTCCTCTGCCTTGCCTATTTTTGAAGATGCCCCTTTTCATGGCCCAGAACTGATTATGAGATAGCTTTCTCCCTGGATTCTACTTCCTTTCCATCTGAAGGCCTTTCCACCCTACAACCTGTCCAACACCCAACCTCAAGCTTCCCACCCCTGCTGACCACAGAAGAAAGCTTAGGGTAGAAGGGGCAGGCCCATGTGGCCATGGGTTCTGAGGAGCTACCAGCTCCAGCAGCAGCAGTTCCCTACCTCCCCGTCTTTCCCCCACTTCTTGACCTTCCATCTGTGCCTTGGCCACCAGATCTACACCCTTTTCTAAGCCCCACTTGGGGCTGCCTAGCTGCCTTTGATGACACATGGCATGGGAATGAGAGTAGAGCAGGTAGGGTGACCATGGGGCTAGTCTCTTGGTTGGGATCTCAAGTAAGCTGGTCTGCAATTCTCTGGTAGGGGTTTCTCTACTGGTGTGGGTTCATCTGCTGTGAGTCCAGCCTTCTTAGTGGCCTGGAGCTTTCTGGACATCCTGATGAAGGCTGGTGCTCCCCCTGATGCTGCTGCTGGCTTCAGAGGTGGTTCTCACTATAGTTCTGTGACCTACACTGGAAGATCCACCAAGGTATCCTCTAACACCTGTATAGGAGACTTAGCATACACTAGAGCTCTTTTCTAACAAACATTTGTTAAATGTTCATGTTCACTAACATGCCCAGGGCTTCCAGACAGTCTCGCTTTAAGATGTTGTATTAAAATATATAAAACAAAATTAATTAAGAATAATTGCAATGATCATAGTGGCCAACCTCATAATCCACATGAATCATAAGTCCAATTATATTTATTTATTTGTTTGTTTGTTGTTTGTTTTTGGTTTGTTGAGACAGGATTTCTCTGTGTAATAGAGCCCTGACTGTCCTAGAATTCTTCTTTGTAGACCAGGATGGCCTCAAACTCACATATATATCTGCCTGCTTCTGCCTCCCGAGTGCTGCGGTTAACACATCTGGCTCCAATTTTCATTTTTTAATGATTTATTTATTCTTATATTTTTATTTTATAGCATTGGTGTTTTGTCTGCATGTATAAGTGTACGAGGGCATCAGATCTGCTGAAACTGGAGTTACAGACAGTTGTGAGCTGCCAAGCGGGTGCTGGAAATTGAACTTAGGTTCTCTGGAAGATCAGTCAGTGCTCTTAACCACTGAGCAATCTCTTCAGTCTTCCTTTTTTTTTTTTTTTCCCATAGGAGAGAACTAACATCAAGTCCCTTTAGGGCTTGTTTATCCCCACCACAAACCTAGAAAAATCTTAGTGCTCTAGAAAGGGCATAAAGCAGATATGGGAAGAGTAGCATTTAGAGATCAGCACTGATTTCAACGTCTTATATTATAATTTAAAATGATCTCTGCTCACTCCCTTCTTGAAATGATCACACGATGTAGCCCACAATGTGTTAGAATTCCTGATCCTTCTGCCCTGGTCTCCAAAGGGCTGAGATTACAGATATGTGGAACCCTGACAGCTTAGTGATTCCCTTTAACACTGCAAATTCACAAAGTTTTTATACAAACTACACCCTGTTAATTTTGTCTGGACAACTAGAAAACAAGAAATAAGACAACAACAAAAAAAAAATCTCCAGTAAAATATCACAGCTTAGGTTGGTAAAACCTGTTTTGTTTTCTTTTTTAAAGCGAATGGAAATGCTCAAGAGGGTCTCAATTGTTAGTGCATGTACTGGTCTAGCAGAGGACTTGAGTTTGATTCCCAGCACCCACATCAGGCAGCCCCACCATTGCCTGAAACTCCAGCTCCAGGGCATCTGATGCCCTCTTCTCACCTCCATGGATACCTCCATTCACATGCACATACCTACACACAGACATACACACTATTAAAAATAAAAATAAGTCTTTAAAAAAAAAAAACACCAACGCTTAGTTGCTTGTATGTTGCTGTGATAAACACCCTCACCAAGGCAACTTATAGAAAGAGGGGCTTATTGGGGGGGCTTTCATTTTCAGAGGAGTAAGAGTCCATCACCATCACAGTGCAGTGGCACAGGAGCAGGCATCAACGGAGACCAGAGCCAGACACTGTGAGCTGAAAGCTGAGCACCAGACAGGGAGCAGAGAGCACACTGGCAATGACACAAGTCTTTGAACTCTAACACCCTTCCCCAGTGATGAGCTTCCTCTAGCAAGGCCTCACCTCTTAAGCCTTCCTAAACAATGCCACCAAATAGGGACCACGTTTTCAAATGCCAAAACCTATGGAGGGTGGGAGCTTATTCCAGCACAACAATTATTATCTTTTTACAGAGAAAATTTTAAACAGCCAAGCCTAATGGTAAAATGTCCAGTGGCTCAGCTGCACCAATTTCTCATGGTGAACTCCAGCTGATCTTTGTCTGAACTAAAACAAAACAAAAAACACAAACATGATATGTACTTGGTTTTGGAAGTTAGAGGGTATTTGCCTCCCCCAGTTTGATTTAGCAGCCTGGAGTTCCCCCATGTCCCTTCGAGTTGTGTTGTTCTTGGACCACATCTATTTTTTATACATTTAGAGAACTGGAGTTGCTACTCTAAAGAAAAGAGATTAATTTTGGCTGAAAGAACAAACCTAGTGGAAGCGAGGGAGAGAGTGAGAAACGTAAAGTGCCACTCTCAGTACACACGGGCCTTCCTGGAACGCTCTGCAGAAGATCTCTAACACACTCTGTGAGACAGCCAGCCCGAGGCACCAGACCACAGACATGGAGATAAAGCACAGAGCAACAGAGGCCATGTTCTTGGGATCAGTGATTTCTAGTCTCTGCGGTTTTTGTTGTTTTGTTTTGCTTTGTTTTTAGTTTGTTTTGGTTTTTCGGGGCAGGGTTTCTCTGTGTAGCCTTGGCTGTCCTGTACTCGCTTTTTAGACCAGACTGGCCTCGAACTCACAGAGATCCGTCTGCTTCTGCCTCCCAGAGTACTGGGATTACAGGAATGCGCCACAGCGCCAGCTTGTTTTCTTAAGAATCTGCTGAATCTCCATTCCTGAAAAACGTCTAGAAGGATGTCAATCTGTCTGCTCCCAGGGAGAATTAGGGACGACACACCTCGTATCAGTGCTTAACATTTTATCTGGCGGTTAGTTACACCAGGCCTGCAAAGGAAGCGGCAGTCTGGTGCCACCTCCACTCAGCCGTTTATACATGTCTGCTGTATCTATCGTCTGGCAAGCTATGCACTCTTGGCTGGAGAGAACACTGTGAATTGTCTTGATGTATTTCTTACTCCCCTGAGGCTCACATTTCTTGGGAAAGGGGGATGAAAGAGAAAATAATTTCCAAGAGAGATAGAAATTGTAGGGGAAACAGCATTTGGTAAAAGGACAGTCCGTATGCAGCCATCCCTCTCCTGGGTGGCCCCTGTTTGTCCTCCAGTCCCCTCTAGTCTTTAGTTCCTCCCTCGCTGTGCTCGCTGAGCTTCCCTTCCCTCCCTGCTGCCCACCTCTGGTTCCACGTGCCCCTTTCCTCTCGCGAGCTGCACAGGCCAACGGCAGCACTTTCTGCCCTGCCGCCTACTCCCTCTGCTGACTTTGCCAGCCCAGCCCTACTGCCCCCGCCATGGGAAATGAGAACAGCTTCCCATCTGAGATGTGCAACAACTTCGACGCGGAGGAGATTAAAAGGCTGGGCAGAAGCTTCAAGAAGTTGGACTTGGACAAATCGGGCACCCTGAGCGTAGAAGAATTCATGTCGCTGCCTGAGCTGAAGCAGAACCCACTGGTGGGCCGAGTGATCGACATCTTTGACACAGATGGCAACGGGGAAGTGGACTTCCACGAGTTCATCATGGGCACCTCCCAGTTCAGCGTCAGAGGTGATGAAGAGCAGAAGCTAAGGTTCGCCTTCAGAATCTACGACATGGACAAGGATGGCTACATCTCCAATGGGGAGCTTTTCCAGGTGCTAAAGATGATGGTGGGGAACAACCTCACAGACTGGCAACTACAGCAGCTCGTGGACAAAAGCATCTTGGTCCTGGATAAGGACGGCGACGGCCGGATATCCTATCAAGAGTTCTGTGATGTAGTGAGACAAATGGAGATCCACAAGAAATTTGTCGTGTTTAAGTGAGTTTTGTGGGGGGTGGGGTTGTTTGTTTTGTTTCAGGGGTCCACTCAACATATTTAGCTTTCTTCTCGCTTTCAAGATATCCAGCTACTACCTTTCTGACTAACCCTGATGTCTACTACCATCCATGCAGTGCTATTAATGCAATTCTCAGTGACTACAAGACAAAAGTGGGGGGCATGAGGGAAATCAGAGATTGAATCAATTCTCACAAATGCCTTTTTCTTTGCTTTATAGAACACCGTCAAGAAGACTAAAAGCTTAAAAATAAAATGCACATCTTTCTTAAGGTTGTGTATATGGGAGAAGACTACAATTCTCGTAGAGTGTTAAACTCTTTTTTCGTTTACTTGTGGCATTCACACTTTTGACTGATTGTCAACTTCCTGCTGTAACTAGCAAAAATACAATTTTCTTTGCTTAGCGCCCTTTAATCACTCTCTGGGCACAAGCACCCCCATAGGAAGATGTATCCTGACTCTCCACAATGCACCCAGAAATTCCTGAGCATGTTTGAGGGATGGAAGTCTGAATAAATTCTGTCTCAATGCTTCAGCCCACCAGAAAGTAGCCTCAGAGTTCATGTGAGAATAGCTAAACCTGGGCCAAACAGCCAGCCCCACCAGGCTCAGTGCAACAGGTTTTCAGCATTTTAGGGTCAGAAATGCTGAAATTGGAGAAAATGGGGGAGTCAGTTCTTCCACAGGGCAGAATCAGCAGCATCCGGCTGAGATGGCCTTTCCCTGGATGCTGAAATGCTGTTGTCCAGAGTGATGAGAAATGCAAACATTGCATATGAAAGCTGATAACACCAGATTGGTTTGCTTTTGAGAATCAGATCTGGTCCCTAGCAGAGAGGTCAAGAGCTGTCTTATCCCAGGAAGGTTTCACCCACTTTAACATCCAACTCAGAGTTCTTCATGGAATAATTAGATTAGTACCCTAGGATGTGCTGGATACTAGTAATAATGTAGTACTAGATATCACATTACACACCTCTCTCGGCAATTCACATAGCTCCTGTTGGCAGCCTGAGATCAGAAATAGTAGATAGCACATCACAGAAGGGAACAAGCTCTGTTCTGTTTTGGAGTCTGTTTAACACTGTTTGCCCCAGTAAATGTCACTAGCTCTCTGAAGCCCCTGAACCTGTAATCCATTCATAGAGTACAAGATGGCCTTTGAAAGGTAGGGACAGTCCATGCCCCAGCACCTGCCACTTCACCGAGTGCTCCCCATAATAATAAGTTGCCTCGGACTCAAAATACTGAAACAATGAAGTAAGCTTGTACTATACTTAAAGAGACACCACTTAACCATTCCTAGTTTGTTGTTATACTTTAAAGAAGCTGCCAATGAGTATTGGGGAGTGAAAATCTACAGATTTTCATCTACTGCAAGGCATACTGTAACATTCCTGGGAACACAGCAATAAGAATCCTGACTCTATAATTCCTTTTCCGTCATAAAATATCTATTTGGATTGTAACAGTGGTGTCAAAGTCATTTCACAACAGTTAAGACAGTCTGAGACCCAAATACCACAGGGTATGGATTCAGGTAGAACAGTGTAACCATAGCCGCTTACTAGCAAGGTGAATATGAGCAACTTAGCCGTGTGTCTTTCCATCCATGGTTATTTTGGGGATTTAAAGAGATGAAATATGTAAAGCAATCACTCTACTAACTTCCTCTCCTTCCCCCCTCTCCCTGTCTCTAAGATCAGTGTGGAAAGCATGCTGGGATGTTTTGCATCCTCACTTCTTGACATCTTGCCACAACCACTCTAAAATTAATTGAACATCTATGACCCAGAAAGGAAATGTTAGGGAAAAAATGATAGGAAAAAAAATGACAAGGCCCTCCTCACCACAGGCGTGCAGAGCACACCACAGACTTCTCAACCTGAGACATAAAGAACACTTGAAAGAGAGACTTTCATACTAGCCTGGTATATCTGACTCTGAGAGGAAATATGAAAAAAGTAAACATAAGCCAAGAAGATCTCCTGAAGACAGAAATTATAGCTCTGGACGTGCACACTCTCAAATAGGAAAAGTTTAAAATTATGACCAAGGACTTGAAGTATATTTGATTAACTGTTCCTATTTAACAAGGAAATTCTTTTGGAGTAGCTGGATTAAGTTAATTGCTCAAATGATCTACATATTGTAGCTATACAAAGCTGTGTAGCAATAGCCTTGCAGGGAGAACTTGTTTCTGGTTTTAGAATGGACGATATCTGGCTAGATAGTTGGGGAAATGGCTCATATTTACTTCCAAGTTAGAATGCCTTTTTTTTTCTTTCAGTTAACTGCCAATTTCTCAAAAACCAATAGCTTTATACAACTTGTTGGAGTGACAGTAAGAACTGATGTGGCTGGTGTAATCCGCTCCTAACATTTGCTATAACTTGTGTTGTCAACACTGAGGTGGTGTCATCATCTCAGCTTTACAAATGGCACAGAGACAATCTTGTCGGTGGACATGAGGCTGGTAAGAAGAAAAGAAAGATTCAAGACCGCAAAGAACGAGCTTCTCTTCTATCATATTAAACTCCTCTTTTTTTTATGGTTCCTATATTCACTTGTCTCAAATTACTCTTATCAATGTAAGCTGGTCAATTCAATTTTCATTAAAGAAGAAACCAAGAACAAACTAACTACTTGTCAAGGAGCAAGAGGTCCATACCTCTTCGGTATTACCCATTGCAAAGAAGCAGACATATTTAAAAAGTGTGTGTGTGTGTGCGTGCGTGTGTGCATACGCATGTGTGTGTGTGTGTGTGTGTGTGTGTGTGTGTGTGTGTGTGTGTGTAAGTGTACACTCACAAGTGTATACATATAGGCACACCCTGGCTTTTGTTCCTCAGGAACTATCCACCTTTTAAGAGAAAGCATCTCATGGGAACCTGGGGGTGGCTATTGAGATTAGGCTGGCCTATGAGTGAGCTCCAGAGACTGCCCTTTCTCCATCTTCTCCACTCTGAGATTACAAGTGTACACCACTATATTTGGATGTTTTACGTGAGTTCAAAGAACTGAACTCAATTGCTAAGGTATCACTCCAGCCCCTGGACACAGTTTTAAACTTCCTTCCGTGTTCATCTTAGCTTGTGAAACAAGTGACCATGTTTAAATTAAACTGATAATAGCAGTATGCTCCAAGGCTATACACATTAATAACACACTGTTATGATTCTATATTAATGGATTGGGTCTGGTCTCTAACATGTTACAATTTCCAAGTCAACAGATAGATGCTGTTTTTGAAAGAGAGGGGAAATAGTGGCCTCGGCATAGTTGGTTTGTATTTCAAGTCAATCACACTTTAGAAATGTCATCAAGGTGTAGGAGTGTATCTGCTAGTCTGAGAATTAGACTGGATATTTGGAAATGGAGTGACCCTGGGCTGTGTACTACCACTGGGCTGTATTCCAGAATCTGAAATCCTTTTCAGGATTACCTAGGCTAGTAAGCCAATGACTATGCTTACAAATATGTAACAACACCTTTAAGTGTTTGCAGTGAAAAATAAAAGTGCATGGATACTGCAGTAAGCCTATGTAAATGGGAGGATGCTCTGAGACAGTTCACAGGCTAAGTCTAATCCACATTTTTGTTCTTGATAATGGCAGTTTTAAAACATGATTTTGCCAGTGCTTTTTATTTTACTTTATTTTAGTAACTTATTCACTTTATATCCCAAGTGTAGCCCCCTCCCTCATCTCCTCCC